TCTTGAATAGAGATTACCCTGATTCTAAGTCTTTCAGCAACTTCAGATTGTTCATCATACTCATCGAGTACCTGTAAAGAAAACATATAATGAGAACTCCTTTTATCACTCCAAAACTTTAATTATGAAACCCAAGTCTTGCTGATGGTTTGTAGGAATATTTGTCCTCAGACTAACGACCATTGACCAAGTGGCCGATGCAAACTAAGACCCTACAATCTTTTTGTTTTTGGGGGGTCAAAATCCCCTCCTATCAACCATAAGTCAACTCTCTTGGATCTAAGCCTTCTAACATGAATAACATCTTTAAAATGGTCAAAGCCAATACCCACATTTCTGATAAATATCAGATTATCACTCTGGAAAGACCTTTTTCGATCTCTTGGAATGTAAGTGTAATTAATTTAGATATGTTAAGCTGACATTCCATCTTAATTTCTTCGTTGCTGGACAGCACCTCTGAACTTGAATATAGGATAGAAGATGCATGTATTATAGGTAATATTCAACGTACTTAACTTTCTTTGTATTTGGGATAATTTACAATCAACACAGTTTAGCTTGTGTAAGATACTCACATTATGTTTTAAGAAGATTACTGCAGCTTGTTCATCACCAGAACCCTTGCATAATTTTGAGAAACCCTGCTCTATGTACTTACAGCTTCCACACGAAGTTCGATAAAAATCTACCACAACTAAAGAGTTAGTTTCTTGGGCATTTTCAAGAATTTTCAAGAAATCTTCATCAGTCTTAAATTCTCTAACACAGTCCACAGGGCAGAGATCGTCGTCTTCGTCAGACAATTCACCTTGATTTTCATCAGCCACACTTTTGATACATCTAGGTTGTAATGTGTGGCTAATTTGCAAAGTGTCCAAGCCCGCACTTACAGTCATAGATGGTATTTTGGCCCCCATAAGACATGAATTAACATGTCTTCGAGGGAGAGTACAGTGAGTTCTATAATTGAGCCGTCTAACAAGATTTTTTCTGAAAATGAAAGAGGCCTTACTGTAGAGAATTGTTTGCTTTTGCATGACAGCATATGGAAAACCCTCCACAACAGAAATATATATATAAAAAAAAAAAAACCTAAAATTTATGGATTTAGAGGATAAACATGAGAATTGAGATACATGGGTTAATATATTGCAGGATGGAGCAGTTATCTTTCAAGCATCCCTTGTTCCTTATCTGGTTCCATCAGGTGAGAGGTAATCAATCAGGCAGCCATCCCATCACTATATATATATATATATGACACAGAACATATAAAACATCAGAAGATTGTCCAAGTTGAAAAGTTGAGCTCTTTCTTTAAATACATAACCCACAGATTCATGGTTATCTAGTTATCTATTTATTCAATAAGCCTAAAACTGAATCAATAAAAGAAAGATGACAAACAAAAAGTAGAAGGTATGATAGGATTTGTTTTTTCTAAACTCAATACTCATATTCCCAAGTTATATCAGAAGTAGAAAATAACTGTGAATCATTTGAATTGTATTAGTGACTATGCTTTGACTGTTATCTTATCCCCTCCAAAAACACTAAAATCCAAAAGAAGGGCTATTGCCCTTTCAAGCAATGCAAGAAACTAGGCAAAATATAGGTGAGCCATTTTTCAAAGGCAAAAAGATTATGTTCCATAAAAGAAGTAAACATCTAGCAATTCAAAGATCAAAACCATCAAACACCAAGTTTCATTTCTTCCTTTTCTTTTACATTTTTCCCACTTGACCACTTTCTCGGTGAAACCCAAACTTATTACAGCAGTTCTGTTTTTATCTGTTAAGCATAAGCATCATAAAACTTGTCCATCCAACGCTACAAAGTAAAACATTAAACAGTTTGCAATTCATTAAATACTCGTCAGTCGTCAGAGATTTTGAGAAACCTCAATCAACGGGGATACAGGGTTTCGACAAGAACAACGGCTGAAGCTAATAAACTTGGTATCAAACAAAGCTACAAGTTACCGCAAAGACTAACTAGGAGACTGTTTTTCATATTGTATGGAAGAATTTGAAGAAAAGATCAGTAGCTTACCCCCGGCAGTTATGACTTTAAGAGAAGTGACATGCTATGGCGATCACTCAAGAAGCTTCAAATGAGAAACGGCCACGCCACCATCAAATCTGCTTTTCACGTCCCATACTCTATCCAAATATCTCTTCAAACCATTATTACTATTATTTTCTTGCCCACAAATCATTATTTGCTGAATAGGGTCTCATTTTTTCTTTATTTGTCTAAAGGGAACGGCCTTTTCCATTTTTGCCCCAACAACCACTATTAATTTATTGTACTAAACGTAATCTAAGGCACATGTAGTACGAACACATAATCTAATGCACATGCCAATCAGCTGCTCCAATTAAATTAAAATCGTATTTTCCTCGTTCTTAATTAATTAGTCTGATTTTGATATTGTTTTTCTAAATTAAAAGAGCTCTTGAGTGAAGTTTCACTGAAAAAAAAAAAAAAACTCATTGAAATCACATTTTTATTAGTATCTACTAATGATAAAGAAAATGTTCAATGGGGACCGATTAAAATAGAATATTTACTTGCAAAATTTACATTTGATTTTCAGTAATTTTTTTAATAAATAATTTGTAAATTCAATATAATTTTTTGTTGAAGCCAGTAATATATTCTAACCTTGAAATGAAGTAAAGTAATTGTCCCTTATCTAATTTTTTTTAAATAAAGATATTGAAATTAGATATTAAGGATTTCAACTTAATAACTAACTAAGCTAATTAGCTGGTTATTTAGTATATAAATATTTATTAATAAGCAAGTAAAATTTGAAAGAATCACAATTTATAACAATTTTAAATCATTAACTACTCTTATCCATAAATATTTAAGAAATTCTTTAAATTTGACGCTTGGTTAAACTTATTTAACTTTATTAAGTTTGTTATTTTTTTATGACATTAACCATCTGTATTTAAAAACTTTGGAGTTATTTTTTTTTTTAGGCCATTTACAGGACTTGATTAATTAATACTTAGGATTAGTTATTTATGAATTAATAGTGTATCTTATAAAAATCTAATTACAAGAGAAAATGAGGTCCATTAAGAAAATTATGTTGGGCTTAGCCCATTGAACAGAAAATCCAAAAGGCCCAAAATCTACCTTCAATATAAAAGGAACTAATATAACTTGCCCACTAGAAAATATCTTGCCCAAAGAAATCCCACGTGTACAAGCCACGTCATGCTGGTCCACAAATTTATTAAGATTCCCCGCTAACATTCTTGCAGTAAAGTAACTTGCAACTTAAGTCATCAATCTGACACATGTCGGAAAACTAAAGTCAGTCAACAAACAGGAAACAACAGCATCGGACGATCAGACAAAGATTTTCCTCTATTTTATTTTTTGATCGAAAATATTTTTCTCTATTTTTTTTACAAAATAAAAATACGTTTTATGGGAATGCGAGTCACGTTGGCGACCTTGCCCGTTCCTGCCTACATAACAAAAACAGTCTCGTATCGGCAACGAACAAACAAGTTCATTCGTAAGCCAAAGCCAATTCCCGTAGATACTTCTTCTTGCTCGGTTTCTCTAATTTTGGTGTAATAATGGCGAACACTGAGTTGAAATCTGATAATTTGTTTGAGATGATGAAGATATACTTGGCTAGTGATGCTGGTAAAGAGCTCACCAAGAAGATCGGCCTCGTTTACCAAATTAATATTGCCCCCAAGGTCCACACTTTATGCTTTGTTCTTCTGACTTCAAAAGCTTGTTATTAATTCTAGGTTTTGTTCATGGTTTATAGAAAATTGGGTTTGACGAGGTTTCTTACGTTGTTGATCTCAAGAAAGGAGAAGTTACCAAAGGTTAGCCCAATTTCATGCTTCTTTTCTTATTCGAGACATATCCCATTTTTGCTTATTCAATATTGTTGTTGTTGTTCTTTTTTTATTTTGTATATGTGTGTGTGTCTTGGTTGGGTTTGTTTATGTTGCTCTGGCTCTGAATAAATTCCATAGCAATTATGGAATAAGAGTTTGAAGTTTGTATTTTTTTTAAATTGTTCATTCTGCAGAAGTTTTAGCTACAATACAAAGGCTTATCGTTTATCGAATATTGAAATGGTTGCTTGCCAGCATCTGCCAACTAGTCCATTGCACCCTTGCTGGTAGCTAGGAACTTAGGATATAAATTTTGTATCCAGTTGGGACTCTTTGGATATGTCTTTTCCATCATCATTATTCGGTTATTCAACTCTCTCTATGACAATTGTAGCAGAGCATACCCCATTTCATTATTTCAATAACGCTTCACCATTTTTTTATGGTACAAGTCCTATTAATTCTTTGTCAGTTTGCGCTGCTTTCTATTACTAGCTGTTCAATGGCAAAGCCATTAATTTTCACCCAAATAGCAGGTGAGGGGGTGTCCTAACTCTCTTTAACATATGGTGCTCTTATGTTAAAGATAAAATTTTCTGTCTGTTTCAGCAATTTTTTTTGTCCATATGAAATTGATAAATTATGACTGCTCTATTTGTATGTGGTTAGTGTTTATCTCGGTGACATGCTCTTGGCTATTCAAGTATGATTACATGAATTGGGTCTTCCTTTTTCGCCCGAATGAGACATAAATGGTTTATTTATCTTAATGGAATTTGAAAAGTAATACGAAACTTTTCAAACATTCTAAAATTCTTAATAATTACAATAAAATTCATTCTTTAATCCAATTGAGATATATCTTTATATTCAATACTATATAAAAACAAACTTCATTCTTAAAAATCCATTGGCCAATATATTCTCAGTAGATTAAGTAATCTTAACTACGATTTATCTTCTCTTCCATAGAATATACCCAAGTTATCCGCCTAATATTGTAATGAAAAATAAAAGAAGCAATGCAAACCATATCTAGTAAATTGTCCACACCTTATAGAATCAACATTGTTTTCAATTACACATGCAGATTATCATTCAATATAAGATATTAATTATCAATCATAATATCAAAACATTTCAAGATCATCGTTTTGTCAAATATTTCATAAATTCATAAATCAATGTCAAAATATGTCACTTCATAAATCATTGTAAAATACGCTATCATTCAAATATCATAATCAAACCAAATTATGGATCAATCATTAAAAATCATCGTAAATCATCATTATCATTCAAATTGTTAGCTACGGTCACTGCTATAACCCGTGACATTGGCCGTATCGACAATTTCATTCTCATGATCATTGCTAACTATTATAACCCGTTAGCCAGGGCTTACGCTAACTATTATTACCCGTTAGCCAGGGTCGTAGAACTAAGTTCTGGTGTCGATGATCCCACTTCCCAGGGATATAAAAACGTAGCCATCATAAAATTATTCTTTAAACATAAATCATTTTCTCATTTCATTCATAAGCATGATCCATCATTTATATAGAGAAACACAAAATAATCATATGCTTGATCCTATTTTCATACATTGAAAATAAAGAAATAAAACATTCTTTCATTTAGAAACACATATATATACATAGATTCGAAAACAAGCAAAGTGTGTGAGATTCTACTTACCTTCATTCGATTCCACCACTTAGTTTTTCCCCCCCAAAATAATTAATGGCCTATCCAAGATCATTTCAATAGATCAGAATTTAATCAACCCTTTTTGAGATCATTTATACAAAAAATCAACTAAGTTACACAAAGAATTAACTTAAATAATTAATACTGGCAGCTTGACCTCTTTTCATTAAAACAGTCATATCTCAACATATCCAAATCGGAATTATGATATCTTTAATGCCTTAGAAATTAGACATAATAAGCTTTGTAACCATGTATGGCACACCTCGTAATTCCTTGTAGATTAATTATAACAATTTTTGAAATCCACGTCATATACTGCTGCCAAACAGCCTGTATACCTTCTAATAAAAACTATATATTTATTCACAGGAAACTCCAAATTCAATTCCGCTTGTTTCATTGGAAAGTAGACTCAATAAGCTTTCCAAACATATATGGCTTAATCTGTAAATCCTTGTATACAAATTAAGAAGAATTTCGTAATTCAACCCTGATGCTGCTGTTTTACAGCCTGCATATCCTTAAGTTAAAATTAGACAACTCTTCATAGAAAACTCGAATTTGACTTTTGTTTGTTTCATTAGAAACTAGATTCAACATGCTTTCCAATGATTATAATAATCACGGCAATATCTATCCATTAATACAAAATTTTATTTTAATTCATTATTACAGATCACAACATCTCATCTAAAAATAAAATTTCTCTTTCAATCTTTAAAAACTCAAATCCTTACTTTCAGCCTTCAAACTCTATTCAATAATCATCAATAACTCTTAAGAACATGAAATAAACAAAGCCCAATAATTTACCCATATAGATCATCAAGATTAATGAAGGATTTCATGATTTTTCTCTCAAAACTTCAATTCCAAATAATAGCAATCAACTTGATATTTCTTTTCAAATAAAAAGAGGGCATGTACTCACCTTTAAGGGATTAACTTGATTGTAGCCTCTGATTGTGAATCTCCAACTTGATTTTTCATATTCTCTAACCCTAAAGAAGAAGAAAAAGAAGAACTCTATTTCCTTTATGTTTCACGATAGGTAGGTTTTTTTTCATCTAATACTTCAGTCCTTTTTTTTTTTACTAAATAATGTCTTAATAAATTTATGGGCTTTAATATTAGTCTAGCTCAATTATTATTTGAGCTGGGGTATTACAGTTTCATTAAAAAAACGACTGGAATTTTTCATTATAAAGTTGTTCATTATCCTATTGCTCCGAAAGTTAGGTAAATATGAAGGCGGAGAGGCCGATGCTACGTTTTCCTTTAAGGATGATTTTATAAAGGTTGCCGCTGGGAAGATGAATCCCCAGATTGCTTTTGTGAGGTAAAAATCTCAAGTTTCTATTTTTACCCTTTTATTATTAGATTTTTTTTGGGTTGGGGGGAGGGTTTAGATGTGTCTGGCAATTACTATGGTGATATTGGTGAAGGGGTGTAATGAAGATTAAGCGGAGCTTGAATGCAGCTCAGAAATTCAGTCTTGACATTTTCGCGAAGCCTGCAAAGATGTGAGCAGAGATGCTAATGTACTATCGTATTAGGTTCTTTGGTTGCAAAAGTTAAGTTTGTAAAGTATAAAAAACATTGTGCCAATGTACTATTGCATTGGTATGATTTTATCTCGTATTTCTGTAATATCTCGGACGGAAACTCAAGCAATTGTTATGATTATCTATTAATTTGAAGTAAATTATGATCTACATCACTTTTCTCTATTCTTTACAACTTCAACTTCACCATTTTCTTTTTCCTTCCTTAACAGCTTGAATGATTGCATGAAATAGCCATTGTTTACATTTTTTTGAAAACTTTTTCTCAAGATTTTCGTTTACTAAATAGTATTGGTTTGCATTCTAGATAGAGCAACTGCAGCATGCATATAGTTTTTCTCGTGTGAATGACGGTTTACTAAAATCACATTCTTGGGGGGGGTGGGGGGGGGGTGGTAGTGTTGTTGATGAAGGAAGAAGATATTTCCAGGTTATGGCAAAAGAATTTGGAATGGCACCAAGTCTCCAACACTATGCAAGCTTCGATGCACTCCTTAGTCGTGCTGGCTTCTTGAGGAAGCATTGTTATTCTGCAGTGTGGGGAGCTTTGCTCAGTGCTTGTTGCATCCACCAAGAGGTCAAAGCTTGGGGAATATTTAGCCAAGAAACTGTATTTTCTTGGATCATAAAAATGGTGGCCTCTATGTGTTGACGTCAAATCTTTCTGCGTCTAAAGGGTCGTGGTATGAATATGAAGTAGCAACTAGCAAGAGTGAGGCAAATGATGAAGGAGACTGGATGGGACGGCTGTTCCGGAGCTAGCCCAATCGAGTTGACTTCATTTGAGGAAAATGGAAAACAATGCATAAATTAATCTTGCCGTTCCAGGCCACTTGGATGACTTTCATTATGACAAGACCCAAGGCTATTGGTCTGGGCCTGGATTAGTTGCAACCCAAGTTCACCCAGTCCACAGTTAACGGTCAACCATACGGTCGTTGATGCACTTACGCGATAATAACCGGTAACCTGTAAAATAGCCCGTTGAGTAGTCCATATCCTTTCCTTTTCAGAACTCTAATAAACATGGAAAGTGAAAAGGCTTAAACCGCAACTCTCGCAATTTCAAATTTCGAAAGCTGGCGCTCTTTGCTTAACCCATTTCCCTTCTCCTTCGATTCTCAGAAAGGAAACCCATTTACCAAAGTCTCAATTCTCTTTCAGTAACAATGGGTGGCGCTCACAGTCGCGAGGATCTGATTTCAGACTCAGACGAAGAAGAATATGAAGAAGAGAACGAAGAAGAAGAAAATTACCAAGATTCCAAAGATGAGACTCCGGAAAGATCTTCCTCGGGTCGAAGATCCAAAACGCCGTCCTCTTTCGATGAAGTAGAGGCTAAGCTCAAAGCCCTGAAACTCAAATACCCGTCAGTCAACACCCAAAACCTATCTCTTAAAAGCGCCGTAAAGCTCTATCTTCACATCGGCGGTAACACCCCTAAAGCCAAATGGGTCACTTCCGAGAAGCTCACATCTTACTCTTTTATCAAAACGTCGAAAATCAACGGCAAGGATGAAGAGGAAGATGGTGAAGAGAGTGAAAACGAGGAGGAAAATGGGGAAGCTTGGTGGGTTTTGAAGGTTGGAAACAAAATTAAAGTGAAAGTCGGGGTGGAAATGCAGTTGAAAACTTTTGGAGATCAACGTAGGGCTGATTTCGTGGCGAAGGGAGTTTGGGCAATGAAGTTTTTTAGTGATGAAGAGTATAGGAACTTTGTTAGCAAGTTTAATAGTTGTTTGTTTGAGAATACTTACGGGATCGAGTCGAATGATGCTAACAAGGTTAAGGTTTATGGTAAAGATTTTATTGGGTGGGCCAAGCCTGAAGCAGCTGATGATTCTATTTGGGAAGATGCTGAGGATGCTTTGTTGAAAAGTCCTCAATCTGCAACCCCGGTGAGGGCAAATCAGGATCTGAGAGAGGAGTTTGAAGAGGTGGCAAATGGAGGAATACAAAGCTTGGCCTTGGGGGCATTGGATAATAGTTTCTTGGTGGGTGATTCAGGTATTCAAGTTGTTAAAAATTTTGCTCATGGGATTCATGGTAAAGGTGTTTATGTGAATTTTGATCGTGGGAATCAGAGGAGTGCTTCAAGTTTGGTACATTCGACACCAAAGAAGGCGCTTCTTATGAGAGCTGAGACGAATATGTTGCTCATGAGTCCTATGACTGAGGGAAAGCCTCATACAACAGGGCTTCATCAGCTGGATATTGAGACGGGGAAGATTGTTACTGAGTGGAAGTTTGGAAAAGACGGGACTGATATTACAATGAGGGATATTACTAATGATAGCAAGGGAGCGCAGTTGGACCCATCAGGAGCCACATTTTTAGGATTAGATGATAATAGGCTTTGCAGGTGGGATATGCGAGACCGAAACGGGATGGTTCAGAATCTTGCTACTAGTACCCCTGTTCTGAACTGGGCACAAGGGCATCAGTTTTCACGAGGGACTAATTTCCAGTGCTTTGCAACCACTGGGGATGGCTCTATTGTTGTTGGGTCTCTTGATGGGAAGATCCGGTTGTATTCAACCAATTCTATGAGACAGGCAAAAACAGCTTTTCCTGGCCTTGGATCGCCTATCACTCATGTTGATGTTACCTTTGATGGGAAGTGGATATTGGGTACAACTGATACCTATTTGATTCTTATCTGCACCCTTTTCACTGACAAGGATGGTAAGACAAAGACAGGTTTTAATGGCCGTATGGGGAACAGAATTGCAGCTCCGAGGTTGTTAAAGCTGACTCCCCTGGATTCACATTTGGCCGGGGTTAATAACAAGTTCCGCAATGCTCAATTTTCATGGGTAAGAATACATATTCTCTTATTCATAGTTAACTGCCTGATACTTGTGCTTTTAGCTGCTGAGCTTCATATTCATGTACATGATTTAGATATGACTGACAATCTAATTTGGAATGAAGAGCTTTGTTGGTAGAATGTAACCAGAGTTATTTGAACAGGTTTAGGGTCTAAAACTGATGTGGTTCGGGATATTCCAATTGCACATCTTGCCTTAATTTCATTTTCACCTGCTAGAAACATGGTATTAAAGTTTGTTGCACGTGGTTCTCTAATATGCTGAATCATTAACTTGATTTTGGGGTTCTCCAGATGCTGATTTATTAACTTGGTTTGGGGACGATACTTTCCAATTTGTAGCATTCTTTTGTCCTACTTGGTTAAATATCAAAACTAAAGTGAGTGATACCTAGTTAAAGCAAAACTAAAGGAGCTAGGCTGCTTTATTCCCTGGAAATCCGATTGCCTCTGCAACATGATATCATCTCAGCATGGATGGCACCTCATTTCATCTCTTTAATCAAGTTCTTTTTAAGTTTAAGTTTTGTAGAATGCCACCAACAAAGGGTGATGGAGGCATGAAGTGAGCGGAAAAGAGTATGGAAACACTCCATTGTTACTTAATAGATAACTGACCAATGTTACCATTTTGCTTGCCACACTTTTCCCCCCTTTTTAGGACTCAGATAACTGTTCTCTGTGATTGTCTTAGTTCCATGAATAAAATTTTAACCATGTCAGCCACTACATTCCATAGGTCACCGAGAATGGGAAACAGGAGCGCCATCTGGTTGCAACAGTAGGCAAGTTTAGTGTAATATGGAACTTCCAACAGGTGAAGAACGGGTCTCATGAATGTTACCATAATCAGGAGGGCTTGAAGAGCTGCTACTGTTACAAGATAGTCCTTAAGGATGATTCCATTGTTGATAGCCGTTTCATGCATGATAAGTTTGCAGTCACTGATTCTCCTGAAGCCCCACTGGTTATTGCAACCCCCCTTAAAGTCAGCTCATTCAGCATATCCAGCAGGCGGTGACATGCTCGAGTACCACTCTTCCCTTATTTGGTCACTTACCAAATATTATGTCACGACTAATATTTTTAGAGCTTCTCGATTGTATTTTCCTTGTCAAATTAGCTGTGTTGCAAGTTTTTTCTGGCAAGACTGTTATTTGATAGGAGTTTATTGTGTGACTCCTAGTGTTTAACACTTATCACTGTTGTTTTAGTTTTAAATGCAGTTATTGCTTCCTATGTCACAAAAGCGAATGTCAAGTGGCAAGATTTCGTTAAGCAGAACCTATTGGTCCACGATTGAAAGTTAAGCAGCTACTCCAAATTTCATGCTTTCTTCAGAGTAACATGTTTGATAATTGCAGAAAGGCAGTAACTTGTATGGGATCAACTGCTGAAAAAGCTAATGCTTTTAATTGAAGGTTCTATTCAGAATTTCAGACTGCATCTGCAAGGCAATACTATCCATTTCGAATTCCATTGTCCAAAATTTTGTAAAAAAAAAAGAGCGAAAGTCCTGTGAAATCTGGACAGTTCATTACTTCATTTCATAGTGCAGATAAGAGTAGAAAGGAATAATCTTGGGGAATCTCCGAAATTAACACTGAAAAGAAACTTTGACCCTCCGGAAAAACGCTATCGTATCACTAACCTGAAAGCCATCTTATAAGGGGCTAGTTGTCTTAATTTTACTCCCGGGTTTGGGTGCTGAAATAGGTATGAAACAGATCGACCGCTATTTATAATAAGCATTCAACTTTTCCCGTATCATACGCCTTACATCACTTTTACAAGAGTTGACGTCCAGGCGTCTCAAAGCCTATACAGAACCATCTTTTATTGCTTCCTCCAGACCCTCCAGCCATACAACCCTTCCATCCAGCAGGCAAAAATATATTCTCAACTTTATCATACATCAAATAATCACCAGAATTTACACTCAAGAGTAAAAATCTGTCAAATTCTTATCCAGCGTTTATAGCAGCTGTGACAACCCAGAAAAAGGGAGGTCAAATCACAACAGCAAAGATAACGCAGCGCTTCATTGAACACTTAAGTGGGCTTGGATGAATGTGACTTTTTTCTGGCCAAAAACATGAAAAACTTTGGGAAAAATGACTTTTTCTTTTTCTTTACAACCTTTGGTTCCGGGGATGATTCGGTTTCTGTGTTATTCCCATGCACATTTGCCTTCGGGCTTCCTAGAGTTTGGGCAGGAGCAGCAGGTACAGGTTCAGAGTTCTTTGTTTCTTTCTTTCCCTCAAAACTTGCCCTTCGGGGGCTTCCTCCATGACTCAAATCAGTAGCCTTTCGCTGCAGCTCTTGTTCAGCCCTCCAGTTTCTCAACACTTGCTCTACACCTAGCTTCCCTTCCTTGGCCTTCTCAGCCTTCTCCATAGCAATTTTTAGTGCTGCCTTTCTTTCAGCCATCTCTCTATTTACTTCTTCCAGCTTTTCCAAGCTTCTTGACTCGGATTGCTTAGCTTCATCAATTTGAGAAATGGCAGCTGCCACCCTCATGTTTGCCTGTTCTTCTGCCTCATGTGCACGTTTACTGAGCTCATAGTACTCCTCTAAGGAAAGAGTTACTCCAGTTGACGAATCGACATTATCAGTGCTTTGAGCTGATTCACTTTGTTGCAGTGTTTTGATAGCAGATAAAGCTGACTTCTCTGACACCTTGGCAGCCTCTATCTCCTTTTGAGTTGCAAGTAATCTACTCTTCATAGTACTTGCAGCAGCCTTTGCTTGCTCTGCTTCTTCCTTTGCTTTGCGCAGTTCTTCACTAGCCATTTGAGCAATTGACTTGGCCTTGTCTACCTCTTGTGCTGCCTGCTGCAGTTGTCTGGGCAGCTCCACCATTTTCTCTCTGGCCTCTTTTTCGTTCATCTGGACTACAGCTATTTCCGACCGAGTCTTCTCCAGCTCAGCTTCCAGAGAAGCAACAGTGACCGAAGCCATGCCTTCTCTCTGCTTAATGGTGGCAAGAGCAGACTTTTCCTTTTCAAGCTCTGATTTTAATGAAATAGCAGCCACCTTCAAACAATTCACCTCTGCAGTTGCTTTTTCTATATTGAGCTTCACCTCTTCAAGTTCCTTCCTTGCGGAAGCAATTGCGGCTTCTATATCAGCGTGAGTTCTTTTCTCTGATGTCTGTGACTCATCATTTGATTGTCCGTCAGTTTCCTCCTTAAGTTTAGATTCCATATAAGCAGCTAATTCAGCTTTCAAATCAAGTAGCAGGGCTGAAGCAGTGTCTAGCTTTAATTTCAGCTCCTTCGCTGAATTGATTTGCTGGTTGAGTCTCTGGAGCTCCTCTTCAGCCTGTTTTAGTTCCTTCTCCCAATGGTGAGTGTCTTGGTCTCGGGCAATGGCTATTCCAATCCTTTTCTCTTCTGCCTCCAAATGGGCAGCATGTGCAGACTCGAAGGACTCCTTTGTGGCAATGAGCTCAATAGTCAATTCTTCCACTGTCTTCTCAACATCTTTCGAAGCAGAAACAGCCTCTTCAGCTTTCCTAACAGCTACTTCTCTCTCAGTCATTAAAGAAGCATATTCCTTTTGCAATGCTTCCCACTCTTCCTTAACAGATTTCAGCTCTGAAACTGCAGCTACGTGCCTGGCTTTAGCAACCTCAAGCTGTGCCTTTGCAGCAACACTAGCCTCATCAGCAATTCCTTGTTCCATCTCCTCTACCCTGAGCTTGGCAAGTTCACAGTCTTGTTTTGCCTGATTCTCTTCAGTTTGTGCTCTCTCCAAGCTTAGCTTTAGCTCTTCTATTAGTCTCTTTGTGCTGTCCAGCTCCTTTAATACTTGTATTTTTGCCTCTTCAGCATCCTCTGACCGTTTCTTGTATTCAGGCATCTCCTCCTGTAATTTCTCAAGTTCTTCTTCTACAAGCTTGCGTCTCTATAGCCCAAAAGGAAATTTGAAGTTACATTTAGTGGACATGAACAAAGTAGGCAGAGAGAAAAAAAAAAAAGAAAAGCAAAGAGAACTACAATGGTCATTAATAGTTGATAGACAGAAAACAAAATTCATGATAAACAGCATTCACTAGACATGACAAAAGTATATTGCAGCAGCATATATTACATTAACACCTCTATAAATGTATCTAACATACCTCCACGGTTTGCATTCTATGAGCTTTCCAATCAACAATTCCTCCAAACTTGGAAACAGCGTCTTTAACAGATTCGAAAGGTGCAGCTGTATCAATAAGACTTCTATTCAAATCAACTTGCTTCATGAGTTTAGGACTAATCAATTTTGGGGATTCAACAGCAGAACTGATAATCTTTTGATGAGGCAGAATAAGACCATTGTTTTGGGCTACATGATTCCTATTTTTAACATCTCCTGCCTTAGAGTCATTGACCTTGGGAGAGGAGGAACTAACGCCATCAATATGAACATGAAAACTGCTAAGAGAACCAGCACCTTGACTCTGCTGTCCATCCAAAGTATGTAAGGATCCAACAGCAACAGTGGTGACCATAAGACGGGGTTGGGTAGAATCATTGGGTGGTGTTATTTGGTAATTAATTTTTGAATCGAAGGAAGCAGAATGAGAAATTTGAGATTGTCGTTTACCAGAAGTATCTTGAATGGATCGTACAGTAATGGTGCCAAGCTCAGGAAGGGGCAATATAAGCTCACTCGATTTCACTTCATGGGAGGAAGTGGAAGGCAAAATCATGTCACCATTGACAACAGAAGAACTGACAATAGAATCGGCTTCTTGAGACTGCTGTCCATCAGAAACTCCATGTATAGGTTCAACAGCAACCCTTGTGACATCTATAAGGGGTAAACAAAGCTCAGAGGGTGATAATACATGGTCATTTTCAAAATCTCCAACCGGATTGGAAGCAGGAGGAACAATTACGTCCTCAATATGAATATGTGAAATGCCACCAGAGCCAGTATTTTGAGATAGCCAATCATCAGAACTGTCATGTATTCCCCCAGTCCTAGAATCTTCCTTCAGTCTACCCTGATGATCTTTCTCAGTTTCATCAATGACAACTGATGAAGTTGATGCTGCACTATCTGTTATCTGGTCTTCTTGTCCTCTAGTTGGGTTATCAGAAGCATTTTGTAAAGAGGCTGGTTTAGAACTTTGCATTACTGACAAATGACTTTCAGGTTGTTTTGTTCCATTAATAATTGAAATTGTTGGAACTTCACCAGAAGTATGGTCAGTTTTTATAAAGGATAAAGAAGATTCTGAATGAGATATCTCTTCTGTTTTTACGTTCTCCATGAGAGAAAATGGCAAGGAGCCCTACCAAGGTGTCTGAAACCAAGAAAATAGAAACCACGTAAGGGATGGAAAAAAAAAACTCACAAGAAATCACTGCCTAATCCATCTGATTCCTGACAAAGCTAATATGAAAATCAGCAATTATATGTTTAACATACAGAGTAAATTTCACCAAAAACAAATTAGTGTCTAAAACTGCATTCTTCTATGGTACATCCTCAATTTAAGTTGAGCACCATCTAAGTTCCACATTTTAAGGCAAATATGTGAGGTGGGAAACACGTTGTGACCAAAGAAATCAGCAATGCAAGAGTAAACAAGCATTAAAAATCACAATTATCTGGAAAACAAGTACAATTTGCCATCTCAAACTTGTTTTCCTTCTGTGTTTAAGCTAACACTAGTTTAGATGTCCCATTTCTTATCAACCACAGATGTTTAGTTTCAGATCCAACCAGCAGAGGTTTCAACAATGGTTAATCACATCAAGAAATGAACCAAAAATTTCAAAAAACATTAATCGAAGCAGATGTTCAACAGCACATCAAATTTAATTTCATGCTAAAGGCCCATTTTTTAGTTAATTTCATTCAAAATTTTCAATAAAATGGAAAAAAACACTCTACAAACGTCAAAACCAGAACCCCATTAAATGATGCAATCTAAGTTCAGGCCCGCAAATTAGAGGGTTTGCCAATTATACTAACTAGTGATTTAATCAGCAACCAAACAATTCTAAGATCATTCATCTGCTAAGAACACAATAAAAAATTTCATATATCTGATTACAAAATATATTTCTTTACCTCGAATGAAATTCAAACTTGATCCCGAAAATTTCACAAATTAATATGCATTAAAATTCATCCAAATTCATAAATAGAAGCATCTCCAGTTTCAATCCTATTTATTTTCTTATTAACAGATAAGCCATTTTGGCAGAACATGCTAATCATGATTAACTTTTTTTTTTCTAGTAGTTTCAAATATAAAGTTTAATTCTTTTTTAATCATAACAATATTCCGAGATAAGGAGATAAATTCTTATCTAGAAAATTCTCTAATCCCGAATTTAATTGCAAAAAGTTCTGCGAAATATAAAAAAAGGAAAATTAAATTAAAAAAAAGGTAAATGAAGGCTCGCAGCAGGCAAAGGAAGCTAATCTATTCAATAAAAAGCCATGATTGATTTAAATTCTCGATTGTTTCTGCAATTGAACAGAGCAAAAACGAAAAGAAATCAATAAAGTAAGCTTGATTAGTTAAGCTAACGTTATAATGCATTCATCCAACTGAACCGCCGGCAATTTCAAAATTATCAGAGCTTCATTCTAAAAACACAAACACACGATTTGCCGCTTAATTCATAATTAAAGCGTATTAATGGAAAGCTAACTCATAAATTTCATTTTTTTAAAAAATTGTGAGAGAGAGAGAGGAGAGAAATGAAAGGAACTAACCCGGATTAACCAGAAACAAAGAGAAGAAGAGTGGAATTGAGGCAATTATTAATGATCTCTGAAAATTTAAGACATGAAAATTAAGGGGGGAAATTAAATTAAAAATAATTATTAATAATAAAAATACGGGTGGAGAAAATTCAACGCTAAAATTAGAAAAATAGAAAAAAAAGGGAGAGAAACACGTGACTGTCTCGCGCCTCTCGCCTCTTCTTACAGAAGGTCCATCTGTACTCCCTATTTTGAGTTTCGACCACAATCTCACGGCTAAGGCTAAAAGGCTTTGATGGCTTAGCTCGACTCAGCTGGCTTTTCAAAAATTGCTTTGCTTCTTTCTAAAGATAAGTAAAAGTTACCGTCCATCATGCGTCGACCAAAGTCATTGACGAGGAAAGACGGGAGATAAAATGACGGAAGAGCCCTTCAAGGTAAGTGGGGCCGAAATATGACGTCAGAGGCGGAGGAGGCGACCTGTTGAGAAAATCAAATTAGGAACGTTGGATGGAATCGAAAAGGTTTTGTGTTCCTAAGGATTTTAAGAAGCTTCTTCCATTGTTTGGTCTGGAGATCTGACAAACATGAATCCCGAAGCTATGGTGTCCCAGAGAAACTTTTTGGCAGTGGCAGAAGAAAGAAAGAAAGAAAAAAAGAATCTTTGGGTAAAGAGCAGAGAGGGCAGCTAGGGAGCTGTGGAGGTACATAGAATTCCCGGGGAAATTTTAAATGCACCTCATTTAATATTGTATATATTTTATTTTTATATACATCTTAAATTTGAAATTTATTTTTTGTTTTAATTAAATACATTTCATCTTTCACTTTGATCATTTTCATTTATATCCTTTTTTTTTCTTTTTTCACTTCTTGACATTAAGTTTTTCAAAAATAAATATTTAAAATATTTAAAATTTCTTAAAAATAAATATTCGATAAATTTTAAAAATTAATTTTAAAAAAATCTTTAATTTTTTCAAAAATAGATATTAGATAGTTGAGATTTTTTAGATCTCTATATTCAAAAAGTTTTGAGTTCTTGATTTTCTGGACAAGATAAATTCATCAATAAAGATCTCCAATATTTTGGCCACTAGACACCGTTATTCAATTATATTTGTAACATTTTTACAAAATTGATAAATGTGTATATAAAAAGAATTGCTAAGTATGAAAAAGCCTTTTATGCAAATTGGCCATTGCATCATATGCAATAAAAGTGTGATTATCTCATCACATATAGTACAACAGCTACTTACATGAGTGTTCTTTACAATTAGCGATTTCTTTTCAAATGCACATTTTATAAAATTAGATAAATGCTGTGAACATTATTTATCAGATAGTGTTCGGTTGAAAGATTAAGAGTTTTTATTGTCGAATTTATACATTTCATATGTTGGAGTTGATATTTTTCAATGGTGTTAATATTAGGTTCCTTTTGTTTCTAAAAAAATGAAATTTGGAAAATAATTTCCTTACTTTTCAAATGCTTATTTAGTAAAAAATTAATTGATTAACAAAAAATGACTTATTGATTAATGAAATAAAGTTTTTTTTTTGAAATTTATCTTACAGATTTGAAAAAAAAAAGATATTTTTTTGGAAAATAGCTGTTTATGAATTGAACTATTTATTAATACTTTTGAGCATAAATTTGCTTATAAATAATATTATATTAATAAATAAATAATATTATATTAATCAATAAAATATTATTATAATATATTAATAAATAATATTATATAAATAAATAATATACTATTAATATAATATATTAATAAATAATATTCTAATATATTAATAAATAATATTATATTAATAACTAATATAATAATAGATATTATTAATGTAATTAATAAATATTATAATAATATATTAATAAATAATATGCTATTAATATAATATATTAATAAATATTATTAATAAATAATATAATTATTTTTTAACATAATATATTAATATTAAATATTATTATTAAAATATAATTATTTTTTAATATTACTAATTTTAATAATAAATAATTTTAATATATTTTAATAGTTATATTAATATTATTTGGAAAAAATAAAAAAAAAACCAAATAATGAAAAATATTTTTCATTAATTTATCTAAATAACAAAAAACCTCTTTCAATTCAATTCAAAAAATGTAAACATTTTCTAGAAATTATTTTTTACAAAACAAACAAAGCCTTAGAAATCTTAAATTTTCTTATCAATAATATATAATTAAATATAATTTAAAAAATTTTAATGTATTATTAGAATTAGATTTTTGAGACATACATTGTTTTCTAAAAAATCCATTTCTAAGAAAGCAATACAAGTTTCAGAAATGAATTTTTGAGAGATGTATTTTTTTCAGTAATTTATTTTTAAAAATTATGTTATTTTTTCAAAAATAGATTTTTGAGAGCATAATATAACACTCAAAAATTTATTTTCGAAAAACATGAGGTGGTTTTTGAACGTATAAACTATTTAAAAGTATTTTTATCATTTATTAAAAATTAAAATTGATATTTAATATATGAGTATTTTTTCAAAAAAAAAATTGAACTTATATAAATAAAATTCGACGTTGTATGTAGCGCACCTCGCGCCAAAATCTCGCAAAAAAGATTAGAATTTTTTTTTGGCTGCTTATGCTTTTTCAAGTTGCAACTTTGCCCCAACAAGCCCAACATCAGCAGTTGGGTGGAATCCATTTGTGGACTTGATTATTGATAAAGTCCCATTTTGAAAAAGAAAACCCCTGACATCGGTTTCCATGGGTCCTAAAATTCCATATAAATGGCTTCGTTAGGTGTAACCTACGTAAATCTGCTACACCAAACTTTGATATATCAACATTATCTCTAATTTTTGCCTTGAACCCAAATAATAAAATTTCTTGAGACAATGCTGCTTCTTCTAGGACAACTTCTCAGGTGGTTGAGACTAAGCAATCAAAGAGAATAAATTAAAGCAGAGCAGTTCGTTTGTGAAAAGGACCTAATTATACTTAATTTTTGCAGCAGATTATTGGATTTTGCCATTTAATCATGTTGTTCTCATTGATGTCTTTACGTAATATATCCTCATACATACAGAATTGTCCATTCTATATTATTCCATATAATATATTAACAACTGTGCATGGGAATAAATTCATCATCATTTTGTCGACAAGAGATCATGTCAATTATTAGGCCTTTTGAAATTTGGGTCACGTTCTGAAATTTGAAGTTGATTGAGATTTTTGAGATTGAATAACGATCATTTTTCATTACTCTGCTGCAAATATTGTACAGCGTAACCTTATGCCTGTTGGGAATGTCAGGTACAAATTTCATCTGACTTTTGTCCAATTTTATTTCATTAAATTTTTTCGTCTTGGATCTGTAATATGGATCCTCCAATGCTCATCTTTGAACCCTGCCTCTCTAGCCTTTTTTCTATCCCAATCCAAATCATTCTTTCTTTTCTTTGTTAACCCACAAAATTTCTGCAATTTCTCATCCATGTTGTCGTGAAACTTCCACCATCTCTGATGGGCCGCATCGCTGGCGTAAACACGTTGATCCCCAATGTTCCAGTTACAATCATAATCCCTGTAACAACGCCAAGGCTTCAATCCCAAGTAATGAATCGCATAAAGTTTTGGTGGGTCAGCTGCAAAAAGCTGGCTCTTTAAGCCAATTTCAACGGTGCTGTTGGACCAAAAATTCTTGAGGAAATTCACTCTCCTTGGTAAACGATGCCACCAAACGAACACTTCATTGAGAAAACCTTGGTCCCCTCCATTGTACGAGAAGATTTCTTTACGTTTGTTCATTAAAAGTTTAAACGTGCAATTTGAAGGCTCGATCACCATAATACCCGAATTAAAAATCCAAATATCGTTGCCCGTAGCTGTCATTTGAGGGAAATGGAAAAGCGGATCAAGGTTTCGTAGAACAATGATGTCTGCATCAATGAATATGACCTTGTCATAATCCGTTAGCTGCCAGAGCCTGAACTTGCTGTAGTTGTATTCATTGTAGGAGCCTTTTTCAGCTCGAGGGTTTCGGATTCTTTTGATGAAGCGGAGCTGCCACCCGGCTGCCTTGAGTGCATCGCGCTGTGCTTCGGAGATGGACCCGTCAAGGAGAAGGATCAGGTCACGGTTGGTGCCGGTTTTTAGGAGACTTTGGGCAAGGGCTATGGCACCGCAGACGTATGATTCAGAGGAATGCAGCATTGTTGCATAGGCTTCACGCTTGGCATTCCTTGTTGCCCGTTCGATCTTGGAGACATCAAACACTTCATCGTTTCCTGAAATTTTTTTCATTTTCTTCTTGTTATTAACTAGAATTTGATATCTGAAACTAAAAATTCAGTATTTCATCAATAAACCACATGATTATTGGCATTTATTGCTGAAGAGAGTTAATGCATGCTAAGAAAATTATTATATTCATGATGATGGAAAATGGAAGCTGGTCTCGGTGGTAGGTGGAATCGAAGTTACAAAAAGCTCATAAAAATCTGTTGGGAGAGGTCCCCCATCGGCTTATATATAGTTGATTATTGATTTGATTCCTAACTAATGAAACCAATAAGTAGAAACATGTGATTCTTTATTGTTTTTGGAACCAGCAGTGGCGCATATGCTGCTTCACATTAGATGCCCGAGCATTTGCCATTTGCCGAAGACAACAAAAGCCTAACTACGACTAAGTCTTAGACTTTGTCTGCAAGCAAAGTCAAGTTTTAATTGGAAGTAGCTAATCATATCAACATCAGTAAGCCAGCTACTCTTTATAATAATTCCTACACTTAATTACATTTTTTTTTTTTGTTCTTTCCTTTTCGTCTGCCAACTTTTCTTCTTCAACTACTTGCAGAAAAGGCTCGGTTGCTCTAATTTTAAAAAGTTTTAACAGAAATTGTGAAGAAATTTTGAAAGAAAAAGGGGGTTTAGTAAAACTTTAGGCTGGATAAAGATATTGGTTAAATAAACACGATTAACCGTTCAGCGCCTGTAGCTCAGTGGATAGAGCGTCTGTTTCCTAAGCAGAAAGTCGTAGGTTCGACCCCTACCTGGCGCGTTCGGTACTTTTATATGCAAAAAGTATAAACAGAACTAGGAATTAGGATCATACCTCGTCCCCACAATGGCAAAGCCAGCCTGCAGGAACCAATAGGCAAAGAAACTTTTTGTTCTAATCTTGCTACTTCCGGCTCATAGTACCACCACTCACCTTCCTGTTTCACCAAATCATTGCATCGAAACACCTCTAACATTGGCCTGCACTTGCTCAGGAACACCACTTTTGTCCTCCAATTCCAATCCCTTTTCCCATTTTTAACTGCCAGATTTGCTGCTATCAGATGAACTTGAAGCCTGAACACCTCCCTAGCCCATCCGTCTACCGGGTACTTACATGGTAGTTTTGCCACTATCAAATCCATGTTGTCGTACTTATTGAAGTCTGGCATTGGCATCTCAGGGCAACTTGGCCCATCAATTTCTTCCTCTTCATCAATCCATTCAGGAAACAGATGTTTCCATTCGAATAGCTCCGAGACTCGTTCGAAAAGGACTGGAATTGTTTCCCCATGTTTTTCCCATTCACTGTAATCCTCATCTTCGAAGTTCACCATCCCAATCTTCAATCCTCCTCCAAACTCATCAATGAAGGTTGGCACCTCTAACATGGTCAAATTTCTCTTAGGCTTTGGCTTAAGGGCTTCAGTATTTTCCAATATTGCCTCCATCTATGGAAATCACATTCACCAAATATGAAATATCAGAGAACAAATCAACACAAATCTTATATACATGGAAACATCCATTGCATTCAAATTAAGAAACAATATTGAATTGAGTCAGCTCACCTTACCTTGTGATGGCACTCACGAAGGGTGCATCTAACAAGCGATGCTGCATTCTCAAAATAGACTGAAGAAGATTGGCGCAAAAGAAGAGATGCATAGATAACCAGAAATAAGGCAAGAAAAACCAGGTTGATTCTAATGACCAAAGACTTTGAAGGAGTTGCTTGGATGATTTTTTGAAGACCAAGTCCTTCACCCATTCTTAAGCAAAGTTGTCCTACCTCAATCCAAGCTCAACATATATAGATGTAGGTTGGCATAATTATAACCATGACTACTTTTTTATAGTTTAAAATAAAGCACATCAATGAATTATAAATGATGATAAGAAAATTAAAGGAATTTTGGGGTTAGTTAGTGGTTAGAGAGCATAATAAGAGAGTGAAATGTAGAGTAAAACTCACAAGAAGTCGGACCACTTAAAAAGCTCCATCTGTCGTTTCCTTTGTCTTGAGTTTCCTTCCCTTTGAGACAAGAAGGTCGGAGCAAATAAAGTCCCATGCTGTTGGTTCTCACATATTTTCTAGACAATTTTCCCAAACTTCCAAACAGACCCTTTCTCGAGACACTTTTAAGTACAAACTTGTACAATAAATTTGTACCAATTCTTTTTCAATATGGTATTTGGAAAGTTGAAATCCAAGAAAATTCTCACTTTCAAATTACACCAATGAAAGGTGGCAACCGGTTTGCTCAATTTTACTCTAAAAGGGTATAATTATCTTGTCAATTGTTTTAGCTACTGTTTAATTTGAGCATATGAGAGGAAATAAAGCCGACATAAGGGGTAAAAGAAAAAAATAAAGTCGTGAGAAATTTAGGTGAATAATGACAACAGGAATTCTTTTTATGGGTAGTTAAGCAGACCTTCTAACAACTATCTGGTTGCCCTGTCAACTTCCTACATGCAATTGGAAATGTCTCGTTTAGCCGTTATTGAAATATATGCCAGGTTCCACCAATATCTTGTTTATTCAATAAATCAATAATTAAATGATCCATGATGATTTAATCAGGATGTAGGTCGGCCATCGGTGTTATCACAACTCATCCGAAATGATTTTAAAGGCAGCTTAGTACACGACCAAAGCCAAATGAAAGGTAAACTATCAAGATTTTGCCCCGAATGTCAGTTGTTGATAATTACAAACTGGCGTTTGAGGCCCGAATATTTTCTTGATTTAAATAAAAATGAAATTCGGACTTTATCCTTTGAACAGGTATTGAATCAAATATTTAACGGATTGGAAATCCAAAAAGTAGACCAATAAGCGGTTGTCTATTCTTGATATATTAGACGTGTGTGCTATTTTCTTTTCGAGACCAAGCCGTCCCTGATCCTGAAGCATGAGTACTTAAGACCAACAAATCAAAAGGGATAGAAGGGGAAAAGGCATGAAAGGAATTAGAAACAGTGGGGTCTTTCTTTCTTTGCATCATATATGGGTTACTTGTAGTTGATTTATGTGGGAATTAAGAGTCATTTTATGAAAACAATATGCAAATAAATTCTCCGTTGCTTTTTCTTAACATTCTTTCTTGATGATGAAGAAATGCAATATTTATAACTAAAAGTCGAGAGACAATCAATTCTAACTAGTAGTTGCGGTATATCAACCAAAATCGTTTCCACGTTTCCTCACTCTTGGCTATTAACTCGTTCAAAAGTATAGATGCATATCAATGACCACAGCTACTAGAGTTTCTGTTTACCTTTTCTCTTTTCTTTTTAGTTAACATTTGGAGAACCCACTGGATCTTGGACTACACAAATGGAGGGTAGCCTGCTTCTATGACGTAAAAATCCTATATCTCCCATCCCAAATTCGAATTCAAGGGCTTCGAGTTGAAGTAATTGCACTTTTGATGCTATCAAATGGACAGTCGGAAGTAACATGCATACAGCTTCATACTTTCATCACATCTTGGATGTGTTGAGAATAGCTTTTACCAGGTGGAATGAATATTACATCATCCCAGCCCCAGTTTTTCTCACTCATCTGAATCAAAATAAAGAGGAACAACAAGATTGCATATTAATACATATTACACGAAACTACTCAGCAATTACATCCTATACCTCCATTTTCTTCAGAACATCTTCCAAGCTTCCTACCTGCTCAAACAGATCAGATCCAATGAATACAATGAAGTGCAACATCAAAAAGGAAAACCATTCCATTAATGAAGCACGTGTGAAAGACGGAACCATTGAAAGTGTTAAGGACAGGGGAGAGGGTTTGATGTAGGTACTAGTAGAATAGAAGAAAAGAGGCAGGGGGGAGGGTTTGATGTAGGTACTAATGGAATAGAAGAGCAGAGGCAATCTCCATGCACTTTGCATGCAATCACTTATCAATGTGTGCATATACAAGTTGAATGCCCAAAACAGATTTATACATATGACACCATGATATGTTGAGAAGCACTGGTTCCTCTTGATGCCCTCGAAACCTTTGAAAGTTCTTTTTCTATATCTTCCTGTACAATAACAAGCAAACAAAAGAAACTAGGTTATGTTTAACAACTATCTTTAAATGCATACTGAACAAGAAAACAGCATCTATAACAGCTTGATAGATCAAGCAGACCTTATTGAAATATATTGGGCAGAAGCGCTTGTTTTTCTTCCTCATAACAAGAAGGTCAGACTGTAGACACAAACATTAAATACAAAAAGTGAGATCTAACATTGTTTTGAGGTAACATAGAAATTATATCACAGTTCGGCTCCTTCATGGACTCCATCAAAGATAACATCATTAAACACAAAAAACTATTGTGAGTAATGGTGTAAAACTGTCCAATGATGAAAGATAACATCTTCACTTAAGTATGAATGAATCATTGATACAACTCCCTTCTAAGCATAGTTATCTTGTCTAAGTACCCAACACCCGCATAGAAAATGAAACACAATAATCTCTCTCTTATTCCTAAATTAAACATCCCTTTTCTTCAGTGCCTCAAAGTTTCTTTATAAGAAAATGACAATAAACACAATCTAGATGAAATAAGACAGCAGCATTGAGTATCAATTTTAAGCTATTTTTGGGCAATGCCTACAACCACAGAGATTTGGAAAACCATTCTACTCTTTCAAGAACAGCATTTATGAAACACTAACCTCTAATGCATTCTTTATTTGAATAGGATTCGGTGGAAAACGAAATGCAATTTTTTCAACCCTTACAGCGAATATACCTATAGCATAATTGATAAAACAGTAACCATAAAAATGAACATTGTTATCTGCAATCCAATTTCAGTTGACATCTTTTCCTACATCATAAATGATAAACCAGTAATTAAAGTTAAAAACAAAGTCAACTGATCAAGTGTGATCGGCACTACTTTAGCATTACTTCTCAGCTCTCTTCTCCGTAACCGAACCTATTACAAAATGAAACGACAATAACACAAAGAGCTTCGAATTTTGATATAAATTAGAAAAATTTAACTAACCTGAGCGAGAAATGCCTCGGCGTCTTCTTGGCGAAAGCAAAGGAAGCCAATAGACTTGATTCCATTGGGATCATAGATAAGCACGAACTCATTGTTGGAGTTGCTAACTGTATACACGGCGGTTCCGGCTAGTGTTTTAGCAACATGTTCAAGACTCGAGGTGGCAGCTGCCGCAGCTGTCGGCTGAGAAACCGACGCAAAGACAGGACGATGGAGGATAGTCGCCTGCGGGGAGAAACCGATGGCAAAGATACTGGATAGACGGTTAGTGTGGTGGAGGCGGGTGGCGAGCTCGGCTCCGAGACGGTGGATGAAGGCGTAGAGGGATAAGAGAGGGTACGAGGGAAGAGGAGGAGGTTTTGGGAATTCCAATTTTCTGAGAAAATAAAAAAAAATTAATAATAATGCAACACAGAGCTTGAAATGTATTTTTTTTGTTAACGGTCCAATGGGTTTCAATTTCATGGATTGCTTTGCAATTTTATGGGCTATTGCCTAGTTTTAGCCCAATTTGATATTCTATCATGCTTTAACTGGATCTGAAAATGCTATCCAAAGCCCACAAACCCATTGAAATCTAATGAATGTGTATTTCCTATGCATTGAAATCTAATGAATAATGTATATTTACTATTTATGTAGAAACTCTTAATTTTAATAATTAAAATTAAAATTTTTTTATAATCTTAAATATTAAATAAATTAATAAATAATGTGTTAAAATATTTTATTCCATAAGTTCTTTAGGAAGGAGTAATGTTTACCTTAACTTTTGTTTTTTCAAGGAAAAATGTACTTGAAAAACGCAACAAGTTAGATTTTTTTTAACGTGAAAATTCATTGAGGTAGGGTATCTTAAATTATCTTATTTTAAAATTTGAAATTAATTGAACACTTTTAAATTTAATCATTAGGATGTTTATAAAGAAAATATAAAGAAAATATTGTTACATAGAATTTTCAAGAGTCATCTTTTTTTTTTTTTATTCATATGAATTTAACAAAAATAAAATGTTGGACTGACTTGGAACTCCAATTGTATCGAATAAATTCACTTGCATTATTAGTAGTAAAAGCAAGTAGCTGTAATTATGATGGATATTCTGTCAAGGCAATGGTGGTTTATATCTTCACCTTCCCTTATTCCACATATCTATAGTTTTTGGTTCCCTTATCTAATTTAAAACGGCAAAAGCAAAGCTCTATGCCTTTTGTCTTTAGTGCCCCACTGATTAGCATAAACATCCTTTCCCCTGACATTGGGGGGTTGCCCCCCGACCAGTCCCACCCTACCCACATCATTTAGATAAGCTTAATTCAGAATGAAATAATCATCCAAATCCGTATTGATTTAGGCCAAGTTGAGCAGGTTTATATGTTCTTTTCATTTTCAAGTGGCCGCCCAATGTGTTGTAAGATTCAGATACGAGGTTAGCTTCTGCTTTTTTGATTGAAAATCAATCAAAAAGTTATTCTTGCAAACGCATCCTTTAAGATAAATTAAGATATATGTTTTTCATTTTTCATTAATCAAATCCCATCGATGGGATATGCTTATCCCCCCAAAAAAAAAAACTTTATTCTATATGTATATATATGTGTATATATATATATATGTATATCCTAGTGAAAATCATACTGTAATTAAAGTAAATTCCCAAATCTTTTGACCGCATCATTTGACCGCGCTTTGGTCTCTTTATTCACCATAAAGCCTCCTCGTTTCCAACCAAAATATCTGCTATAAGCCATATATTTATTTGTTTCAAGAATTCCAAGCATAAAGATTGAAAATTGAATTTCATTTTTATGATCCTCCTGTGAAAAATCGGGACAAATTTAGACATCAACAACTTTCATTGAGGAGGTATCAGCGTTTGATCATTGGAATTTAGAAGAGTACTGTAATTTTAATTTCCTGTAAAAAAAAAAAAAAATCAGTTATGTCTTTGGTGTATCTTATTTTTGAGACACACTTCATTGAGTTTTCCAAGTCTACGTTTAGGATCATGCATCTATTGAGGATACTGTTCAAATACATGTTGGAATATTGATTTTAAAGAATAAATTCCCTGTTCCCCAAAATGCTCAATCTAAAATGTGGCACACTACAAAAATACCAGTTCTTTATTTTCTTTTCCTGTTCCTTTCAACCCACTTTTACCTTTTGGATCCTTATCTAAGACAGTGGATTTCAATGTCCCAAGCTCTGTTTATAAGCCGATTGGATCGCTTCCAATGCATTGAAGATGGAATAAGCTGAAATTGCGTAAAGATGCAGGGGAAATCTTCATTCTGAATTCCCGATATAAACACTTTTTTATATTTGGAAGGTAAAATTTTTCAATAAGTAACTTCCTAACATATTCTTTTTAATGTATCACAGAATTTGAGATTTGAGATTTGTGATTTGTGATGCCTAAATTTGCTGACTACAAAACAAAATTATTCTCTTACTATAAAATGATGACAACCCTCATTTTAATGGAAATTAGTTAGTGATTCCTTCAACAAAATGTTAAGAAGAAATTCCAGAATCCGATTGGAGAATTTTTGTAGTTTTGAAGGATGCTTTTCATGACTCAACTTTTAATAATTAAAAATAAATTCACGCAGGACATGAATATATCTAGATTGAAACGTACCCAAGAAAAATTCTTACTAGCTCACACAGGACATTAAATATGCTAAAAGTTGCATAATTATTTTCTATATAAACAGATGCTATAGCGATTTTAAATTTACACCAACAAAAAATAGCGTTTTACATTTCGTCCTTTTGATTGCGGCAAGAGAAATGGTTTTTTTCTTCCTTAGTAAGATAATAAAAATGTAGCAACATCTTTACTAGCTCAACGTGCTGATATAATGAACCTATTCAACCGTTGCGACGTCAACAACGAGGGAAAACGTAGCTGGGAAGAGGTGAAGGCAGGTTTCCGAAAGCTTCAATCTCGTTTTCCGGCTTGTAGAACTGAACGTGCGTTCCAGATGGCTGACGATAACGGCGATAGGTACATCGATAAGGCAGAGCTGGACGAGCTTGTAAATTATGCCTTGGAGTGTTACGAAGGAACCGTAAAGCTTAGACTGATAAGTTAGATATATATACATATATATATATATATATATGGAAAAATCCAACTTGTTGTACTGTTATCTGTGAAGTACTTTAGGTTGTCATGCAGCATTATATATTTATAATAGGTGCAGTTGGCCTTTACATCCGTTAGCGAATGGCAGCTGCAGAGTTTTGAGCTTGTAATTTGAGTATTTCTTGGTGTATAACATGATACAAAGCTTATTAGGAGTTTAGGACTTGTTTTTAGTAGAAAAAGTCTCTATGCTATAGTTAAATATCTCCCCTTGTTTCTCTTTAGAAAAAGTTATCGAGTTTCCCTGCCTGTAAACAAACCAGAAATGGGAAAAACTTTTCTAAAATGATTTCTTCTTCTTATTAGGAAAATTTTGTAGTAATGTTTGTGTATGGAACTTAATTTCAGCTTTGAACATCACTTCTGAGAGAGTGTGGAATTTATGAGATGAAGAATAACTATCTATCTATTCTCCTGTAGCCTTGGTTTTCTTTTTCCATCAGAATTCTCCAATCACCATTCAGAAAATCTTGAACCTCTCTCTGGTTTTGTCTATATAACAGCTTGATAGATCAAGCAGACCTTATTGAAATATATTGGGCAGAAGCGCTTATTTTTCTTCCTCATAACAAGGTCAGACTGTAGACACAAACATTAAATAGAAAAAAGTGAGATCAAACATTGTTTTGTGGTAACATAGAAATTATTATCACAGTGCAGCTCCTTCATGGACTCCTGATATAAAAATAGCATATCAAAAGTGGCAATATCTTTCAGAAATTGTAGAGAAAGCAAATGTTATGATTCAACAAATCAAAATATATGTTGGGCGTGGTTCCCCTATTTAATAACAATCAGAGAATCTCTACACCTTTATGCTATTGCTAATACAACAAAAATTGCTAATGCTTCAAGGGACAAAATACAACATGGCCACAATGAGTAACCATAGACATGAATAAATAAGCTTTTGGAAGCCATTCATGTGATGCTTTGTATGCAATGCAAAATGAAAGGATCATCCAAGATGAAAATGTTTTCTAGTCATATTTCCACTCTCAAGGGCATTATATGTTTAATAAATAAATAGCGTACCTGGAAAACAGGAACTCCATCAAAGCCACTTTTGGCATCACCAGCTTACAGATGATAAACACGAAAAACTATTGTAAGTAATGGTGTAAAACTGTCCAACGACGAAAGATAACATCTTCACTTAAGTATGAATGAATCATTGATGCAACTCCCTTCTAAGCATAGTTACCCAACATCCACATAGAAAATGACACCCAATAATCTCTCTCTTATTCATGAATTAAAACTCCTTTTTCTTCATTGCCTTAAACTTTACTTATAAGAAAATGACAATAAACACAATCTAGATTAAATAAGTCGGCAGCATTGAGTATCAATTTTAAGCTATTTTTTGGGATAATGCAATGTCCAATGCCTACAACCACTGAGATTTGGAAGACCATTCTACTCTTTCAAAAACAACATTTATGAAACACTAACCTCTAACGCATTCTTTATTTGAATAGGCTCCGCTAGAAAATGAAATGCAATTCCTTCAACGTTCAGTGAATATACCTACAGCATAATTGATAAACCAGTAACCATAAAAATGAACATTGTTATCTGCAATCCAATTTCAGTTGACATTAAGTCACCTGATCAAGTGTAATCGGCACTACTTTAGCATTATTTCTCAGCTCTCTTCTCCGTAATCAAACCTATTATAAAATGAAACCAAATCAACACAAAAAGCTTTGGATTTTGATATAAATTTAAAAAATTTAAGTAACCTGAGCGAGAAATGCCTCGGCGTCTTCTTGGCGAAAGCAAAGGAAGCCAATAGACTTGGTTCCATTGGGATCAGAGATAAGCACGAACTCATTGTTGGAGTTGCTAACTGTATACACAGCGGTTCCGGCTAGTGTTTTGGCAACTTGTTCGCGACTCAAGGGGCAGCTGTCCCAGCTTTCGGCTGAGAAACCAACGCGAAGAGCGGACAATTGAGGAAGGCTGGGAGAAACCGAAGGTGAAGGTACTGGAAAGACGGTTAGTGTGGTGAAGGCGGGGGTAGAGCAAAGCGCCGAGACGGTGGATGAAGGCGGAGAGGGATAAGAGAGGGTTTGAGGGAAGAGGAGGAGGTTTTGGGAATTCCATTTTTCTGAGAAAATAAAAAATTAATAATAATGCAATAAAGAGCTTGAAATGTTATTATTATTATTTTTGTTAACGGTCCAATTGGTTGCAATTTCATGGATTTTTTTGGCAGTTATTTATGAGCTTTAGCCTGGTTTTAGCCCAATATGATACTTTATGAAAATGTTATCCAAAGCCCGTTGAAATCTAATGAATAATATATACATATATATATATATATATATGATATTAGTGTGATTTATTAGTAAAATATTATAATTTTAAATTTAATAATTAGAATTAAATTTTTTATAATTTAAAATATCAAAAAAATTAAATAAATAATTTGAGAAAATATTATATTTTATAAAATTATATTTGGTGTATAAGATAATAAATATAATAAGATGATAATTATTTTATATTATATTCAGTTTGTATTTAAAAAAAGAGATAAAATTAAAAGGAATATTAATCATTCTCTTGATATAAAATGATTCAATTTTTTCAAAGTAGAGAGAATTATTTTAAATTTATGAGGTTAAACTTACATGTCTTATTATATCCTTAAAAATTATATCAATAATTTAAATTATATAAATTTTGAAAAAAAATAATTTTAATCAATAAATAAATTATTTTTATTTTAAATATTGTATACATCAAATATAAAATAAAATGATATTATTTAATTTAATCTTATTTATAATATCATATTTTCTTATCCTATTATAATTTTATATGCCAAACATATCTTTAATTTTATAAGTAAGAGTAATATTTATCTTAACCTTTGAATTTTTCAAAGAAAAAGGTACTTGAAAGGCAATAATTTGGGTTTTTTTTTTTTAATGTGAAAATTCATTGAGGTTGGGTATCTTAAATATCTTATTAAAATTTGAACTTAATTGAACACCTTTAAATTTAATCATTAGGATGTTTATAAAGAAAATATAAATAAAAGATTGTTAAATAGAATTTTCAAGAGTCATCTTTTTTTTTTTATTCATATGAATTTGACAAAAATAAAATGTTGGACCGACTGACTTGGAACTCCAATTGTATCGAATAAATTCACTTGCATTGTTAGTAGTAAAAGCAAGTAGCTGTAAGTACGATGGATATTCTGTCAAGGCAATGGTGGTTTATATCTTCACCTTCCCTTATTCCACATATCAATAGTTTTTGGTTCCCCTAACTAATTTAGAACGGTAAAAGCAAAGCTCTATGCCTTTTGTCTTTGATGCCCCACTGATAAGCATAAACGTCCTTTCCCTTGGCTTTTGGGGGGTTGCCCTAGTACAAGTATAGCCCCCGACCAGTCCCACCTTACCCACATCATTTAGATAAGCTTAATTCAGAATGAAATAATCATCCAAGTCCGTATTGATTTGGGCCAAGTTGAGCAGGTTTGTACGTTCTTTTCATTTTCACGTGGCCGGCCAACATGTGTTATGTAAGATTCGGATGCGAGGCTAGCTTCTGCTTTTTTAACTGAAAATCAATCAAAAAGTTATTCTTTGCAAACGCATCCGTTAAGATAAATTAAGATATATGCTTTTCATTTTTCATTAATCAAATCCCATCGACGGGATATGCTTATCCGAAAAAAAAAGAAAAAAACTTTATTCGATATATATATCCTAGTGAAAATCACACCGTAATTAAAGTGAATTCCCAAATCTTTGGACCGCATCTTTTGACCGCGCTTTGATGCCTTTATTCACCGTTAAGCCTCGTTTCCATCCAAAATATCTGCTATAAACCATATA